TGCCATTTTAAGTTGACACTGGTGTGTACGAGTCCTTGGTGGTCATACTCATTCGTTGCTAAGTGGTCGAACTAGTCGTCTCTGAGGTAAGACACTCGATAACGTAGGGCATCTTCAAGAGTTCGATTTTGGCGCTCCGTAGCTCCGTCAGCTTGGGCACGTCCAGCGGTTGTCATGGCTTGGCGGATGGTCATGATCTCCATGAGAGACTTCCAAAAGTTGCTTGTAGACTTGAGGTCACGGTCGCTGATGATGACGCTCGGTAAGCCATGATGGCGAACAACATGGTCGAAAAAGAGTTTGGCAGTTGCTGGTGCGTCTGCATTGGAATGCGTTGGTATGTACTTGGCGCGCTTAGAGAGCTTGTCAACTACAACTAAAATGGCATCGCATGACTTGGACACGGGCAGTCCAGTGATCCAGTCGGCAGAAATTGTGTGTCAACATTCGGGTGGAGCTTCAATTGGGATCATCTTTGCATTAGCTCGAAGACTACTTGTCTTGTATCGGCAGCACGTTTCGCAGGTGACAACGTAAAGCTTTACGTCGTCAAGCAGAGTATCCCAGTAATACCATTGCGAAACACTGAGGGCAGTTTCCAGGGTGAGCGGCTATGTTTGAGTCATGGGCTTGGGAAATGATTTCGGCTGGCAAACACTGAGGGCAGTTCGTCGAGTTCCAGGGTGAGCGGCTATGTTTGAGTCATGGGCTTGGGAAATGATTTCGGCTCGCAAATCATCGTCCTTGGGCACGCAAAGTCTCCAAACTTTGTTTTTCGTGCGAAGGAAAACCAAGTCGTTCTTTACAACGAATCTTTCGTCGCTTGTAATATCCTTCCAGGCGGGGTCTTTCTTGTACGCTTTGAGGTAACAGCTCTTGGTGGCAGGGTCCATGTTGATTGTCGTGTACGAGAGTTGCTTTGCATGATTGGTAACCAGTCGCTGAGGCACTAAAGCACCCTTTTGAGCAACCGATTCCTCCCCCGAAAAAGGAGTGCCAACTAGCTTGGCGAGTTCACGAGTGGACAAAGAGACGGCGGTGACAGCAAGGTCGGTCAAGTGATCAAGGCGAGAGGCCGTCAAGTCACAGCGGTGACCACACGAATGGATGCGGACTTGGTGGATCATCGTGGCATGCGACGCAGGGACATCGGGGGGGCGGACGAGACAAAGCATCGGCCACAACGTTGAGTTTACCTGGGCGATGGTGCGAAACAAAGTCGTATGCGCTAAAGAAATCAAGCCAACGCGTCAACTTCGGAGTGAGAACGGGCGTGTTCATGAACCACTTGCAGGCAGAGTTGTCGGTGTAAATGTCAAAATGCGTTCCGTACAAATAGTGACGCCATTTTCCAAGCGCTTGCTTGATCGCATAAAGTTCCTTTTCATGCGCGGGCCACTTCACTTCATGGGGTCCAAGGCGTTTGGACATAAACGCAATCGGTCGGTCATTGCCTTCATCATCGAGTTGGGAAAGAACGGCACCACAGCAGTATCCAGAGGCATCCGTAGTAACCACAAAAGGCTTGTTGTAGTTGGGCAATTGCAACACCGGCGCTTGTTG